CTGGGTCTCTTATTCCATAACTATATAACTTGTTCAGTAGTTTATAGTGGCTCACGTTGTAAAAGGCTTTCTTCAAATCAAGCAATACCGTCAAAACTTCTTTGGATCTATCAAAATTTTTGTATAACCGCAAAACGATGAGCAGCCACAGTCCGTCGCGTATTTCTAATATGTACCGCTCTTGGTGGAATCAAATGTGGCAGGTCACTTGAAAGCTTCCCGTGAAAGTATATATAGAAGAGGGACAAATTCCCAACCTTTCTCCGATGTTCCAGACTATCAAGGTTGCAAGTGATTTTCGTGTCTTCCATCAGGCGAATGGCTCTTTTCTGGATGGAATCCAGCAGCTTTAGGGTATGCTTAGGGGCGGAGCTCAATACATGAGAACAATACTCTGAAGAAGGTCTAATGTGAGCTTTATAAAGCATCAAAAGTTGGGAACAGAGTGTTCCAAGCTTTTGAGAAGGAGCCTTTGCAATTACAGCGACATGATTGTACTAAGAAATTTCAACCCTCAGCCACATTAGAAATTTTCCATGAATGTTTTGCTTACATATTTTTCAAGGATATCTTAGTACTCAACAATCATCACAGGGGTTACAAAATATTATTATTGATGTTACACATCTGCCAGACGTCCCGTGAAGGATCACATATTTTTGCAATTTCAGCAATAGTAGTTATTGTGGAATTGAAGGAGATGCTATGACCTCAAGAATATTTTTGTATTTTTCACTACCTAGGATCCTGTGGGTTAGGCTACCTATCGGACGCGTCCACAGGTGGCGGATAGGGGAACGTTCAGGGGACTGGAGGCCCTGTCCGGGAAGCCAATTTGGTTTTACGGATGGGGTCGCCGGACTCCTGGTCAGTGGCAGAAATAAGTAGGGTGAGGGAAACTAAAACTCCCCAAAAGCCTTTTCAAAACATGCCACCTTGGACGAGCCTACCCAGGCTAAGTTGTAAGAAATCGTGCCGACAGCTGAATAGCCGCAGGGTGATACGCGGTTACGAACGACCCCCTTGGGTAACTGGGAAACCTCATTGTAATCAGCCTATCTCTGGTAATACGGGTTTCTGCTGGAGATGACCAATTCTTCCCGTGCTACTCGTGGAAACACACATGAATGAAACAAACACAAAAACAGAAATAACAACAAAAACCAATCCCGAGGCTGGACAGAAGTGCTCAACTCAATCTAAGGCGGTGAGGTTGGACATAGATCATCTCGTGATTTAATACAAAGGTCAAGGCGTAAGCTCATTTGCGGTGCGGAGAAAGAGAGCGAAAGAGGCAGGAGTGGCAGCAACTATAAATGCACCCTCCCCCTCCTCCACTCTACCTCCAACAGTGAGGGTACTTCCTGCGGTGAGCGCCAAGAGCTCCTCCTTGAATAAAGGCAAGGAACCGGCACCTCACTTGTGCACCTCCACGAAGGGAACCCCAAGAAGGTTGAAGAAGACGCGCAACGACAGTAATGTCGTTGCACCTTCCAAAACCTTCGTGGAGGCCACCTTGAGACACTTCAAGGTTGCTAAAGAGAGTGGGTGTATGGTGACTCTTGGTCTTCACCTGCCAATATAAAGGAGATGTCTCCTAGTAACCTGTCCACCTTTCTGGAAAGGACAAGATGGATGATGACCTAGGAGGACAACCCCTCGGGAGACTGTACAATAGGTCATATGTGGCCTAAGTGCTGTGGATCTACACTCACCCTCGCTATTCTACAGATACAGATACTACCTAGGATTTGTGGATTTCATCCTGAACTGCCAACAGGTATTCTTTTATTCTAGTTATTTTCATGGATCTGCAGAAAATATTATTACTTTTTTCAGTGAGTCATCGTGTGAAGTATCTCTCATTCGTATGATAATTGCTTCTCATTTAGGCTTCTGTTTCTACTGACTGTCTCTCATACATATTATAACCGGTACTGACTTGTTGGGTGAACCTTCGGCATTGAATGGTAGACAACATTTTCCTCACACACTAGCACCAGAGTGGTTTTTCCCGACGTGCTTTTTGCTGACAAAACAAACCCCATCAGAAAATTTCTGAAACTATATAGAAGGTTCATTGAAATTTCTGCTTCTTTGAATTATTCATTTCACCAATATAAATGATATCCCCAATGGACCCTTGAGATATAATACATTGACAGTGAATTAGTCCATTTTACCTTGGTAGATTTCTGAGAGAGACGTTCATTATCACTTCACTCATTACAATAAGGTCGCTAATAATCTAATAAAAGATCGACCCCGAATTCTGAGTGAGGTTACTCTCACTACCTGAAAAACATACTTTTCCATTTTTTCTTCTATACAATATGTGATTTTCCAATCGTTTCTATCTTCCACTCCTGAGTCTCACTGGATTTATTATTTTTGAAATGTTTTGGACCTTTCAATTCTCAAAACTGAATTCATAGGCTACTATGTGGAAGGTTATTCGAAGCCTTTCAAAATGAAATTTCTCAATTCTTCACATTTTTTTACTATTTTACATACTTAATTAAGCCATCCTTGCACTCGAGTTCAAATTGAAGAAACACACTGTATAGTATTCGAATTTAGAACCAGCAATCCCATCTGCTAGACCATTGTCTCTTAATAATGACACGTTGTGAACAATACCTTACAGTAGAGAGGTTGTCTTTATCTTATTAATTTTAGTACCCCACTGTCAAAATATATATAAGAGCTGTTTCGGGTGAATATTAATATTCATAGATTCCGAAAGCATGTCTTCCGTAATAATTCCATTCCCGCGATATCTTGTTGAACGAAACTTACAGAAGAAGTTTGATTGCCTGAGTTCGTGACTTATCGAATGGGTTTCTGTTTCCAGAAATATGATTTGATCGTAAAATGGTCTCGGTGAAGTAATTGACCGATTTGTATTGTATTTGATAGAGCAGTGAGTATCGATAACACTTCAACTCCTTTCAGTTATTTCCATGGGCATATATGAAAAAGTAGTGGCAAGCTTAACTTTTATAACTAGTGCTGTTCACTGCAGCAGTAGTACTGAGTACTGAGTGAACTGTTACTTTCCATAAAAAAGGTTGAGAATATATTTATCGCCAACCAGTGTATTAGGTTTCAATCTCTCTCTGAAAAAGTCCAAGCTGTTGCCTTGGACATAGTCACTAAGTCTTCAAGATGCGTACACCCCAGAATATCATGCCATCTGTCAGGTTAGAGTATATAAGGGAATAATAAACATTTTTTTTAGCAATGAAAACCTAGGTGTTTTGATAATATCCTGAGTGTAAAACACCTGAAAGAAAGATAATCATTACTGATGGTCGGTAGCCAGGCGGTTCGACGTGAGTGTTTTGTTCACTGCCGTGTTGGTCGGTGGTTCAGTCGATTTTCATTTGCTATTGTCCAACCCGTGTTGGGAATCACACGGTAAAAGGTGAGACCTCGTTAATCCTCAGGTCGCACAAGTTTCGACGTCTGAAAGTTGTCGTTCGTAGGCGTGCGACAGCTGGTTGAAGGAAGAACAGATTTTAAACAGATTTTTTATATACTTTTCAAATTTCAGACACTCGTCGATATCTTTCCCCAACATTTTCTGCTAGAGTACTTTCCATATGAATTTCTGGTAGACTGCACTTTAGGGTGACAAGTTTTGTTTTCTCAATGTTGAATGACAACAGGTTCGCATCATATCACTGTTCATTTCTTTGAGGTCATTTCAAATTGTTTCGTGTAAATTTTGTTGATTTTTATTATGAATATTACTGAAGTTCTTTCCCAACATCAAATCGTTATTTTAAACACTTCTACAGGTGTTTCGATCACCAAGTGATCATCTTCAATCGTTCAATAGTACGAGTCATAGTAGTAGAGTCAAACAAGGGAGTAGGAATAAAATCCTGAATTCTCTTACTTGCAAATCTGAAATATTGAAGGTTTCAATGAAATAATAGGTATAAGAAAACAAATCATTTCATATTTTGACGTTGACGTTGGTGGTTTGCTCCATTCACTCAATTGACCGCTGTGTGAACCGGTGGTTCGAACCGCAAGGCCGAACGATCGATTTTCACTTCCTATCGTCCAACCCGTGTTGGAAATCACACGTTGAAAGGTAAAAAGCGAATTCCAGTAGAATAATGACTAATGTATGCTCAATAAAATTTATGGAAATGGTTCAATTTATTTTCAGACGTCATTCATGTAATATAATCAAGCTGTCTGTTCCCTGTGTATTTCGTTTCATTTGCTGAAAATATGATTGGACTACGTTGATATCACCTCTCACAGGCACAATTTCAAACAGTTTATATCTTCTGAATTATTGGTTTGTTGAATTTGATGCATAGATAATTCTTTTTCAGTTCCAAATTAACACTGATTTCAATTCTGAAAAATTATAGATTGATCATTTATTCAAGTAACTTTTTATTGAACAATTCATTCAATATATAACATTTCAAACACCAATCTTTTACAGAACGGAAAGATTTTCAAAATGAGACAAATGAAAACATCAAAAACGCATGCAGTATGATTTTTATATTTTTCATAATTTTGTTTATCATAAATAATCTTCTGAGGTGTTATTACCAATACTTTTATGTCTTCCCAAATTTTCATGTGACTGAATGAACAGTGAAATAATGATAATTGTTAATTAACAATTCAACTATGAACATAAAATTTTTGAAAAATTTTCAACCGTGGTTAACATAGAAAGGCATACTGAGAAGTAATAGAAACTCATAAGTATATAACAATTATCTAGTTAGTGAACGCTGCAAAACGCCTAATTCTAAATCATCCGTTTGCAAAGCTTTCAGCGACAAACTCTTAATGTGCGCTGTGCTAACAACTACCAGGAAAACCCTCGTGCAATTCGAAATGGAAACATACGAGACAAACATTGGTGTGTGAACAGGAAAACCCTCTAATTGCCTAATGATGATTTGCGGGAATCGACATAGGTGCGTAGGGTGTGAAATATAATTCCGTGGATAATATACCTGCGTTTTCGCCGAGTGCCGGAAACTTTTCTCTGGAATAACAATTAAAGTGTTGCGGCTGTCGCCTACGGCGAAGAAATGGGAAAGTGGAAAACACGCGGCCGTCGCGCGTGCGGGCGGAGAAACGATTTTCCGGAAAATGACAAGATCGCTACATGTCGTCAGGTACAAGGGATCGGTTTGTTGGAAATCACCAAACGGTGATATGACGACAATTTTGAGAATCTTCTTTCAGAAGAGAATTAGGCTTCGCATCTAATTTGGAGGAATTCAATACGTTTGATTTGGATCGAATGAGAAATAAACTTAGCAACTTGGTTGGTCACGGAAAACGACGACGTACGTAAAGCAAAATTACAAAAAACTCAAAAAATCACAAGGAAAACTCACTAGAAAAAAAGGCTCTCTTCAGTGGAATAATATACTCGTGAAAATAGATCTTAACACTTCATCACATTGTTATTTAAGTGGAAGGGTAACATTACTTTCAAATAGGGAGTAAAGTTATTATACACTGCTTTTCTTTAATGGCCCCCTTAAATTTTTTGAACGGGTCAATTCAAAACATTGAAATTTGGAATAATGAAATTAATGCATGAATACTTTAGTTTGAAGTGAAATTGACAGATAAAACTTCCAAGATGGCGACTGGGCGTCATTTGGGAAAAAAATTAAATAGGAAGGGGGGTCTTGTGACATACCTTTTTGAATCTCCTGACAAATGTTTCATAACCCTAGAATATAATGTCAATATCTTCAACCACTACAAAACGGCGGAACTTTTAATAATTGCCTGAATACATTGACATTCAATTACATAATATGAGGTAATAAGCTTGAGGTCAATTCAGAAGATGCTCGAAATGGTTGCCTTCAACTTCTTGACATATGAACAGCCTACCCGACATTTCACGCCGAACATTTTCGAATACAGTAACCTAAATATCTCTACAAATATTATTGTTCAAAATATAAAAGGGGGGGAGCACATTGAAGAAATGCACTGTAACAAAGAAGTTCTCACCAAACATTAAGATAAAGCTGTTAATATTCACGATTCACTGATTTCGCGTACCTAAATTATGTTTTTTTGAAACAAGTACCTTGTAGTTATATGAAATATACTTCGTCACAACAAAGTTTATGGAAAGCCCTACTACAGCGGCCCTTCTATTCGGACAATAAAGGTGATGACATCTCCTCTCACGATGAAGCCATCTATGGGATCAACAAAAGACTCAATCTTTGAATATCAAAGATGAACAAAGCTTTCCAAGGCAGTCAGTTTCAAAGCCAAACTTCGACATAGACCGCCGAAGGGATTTGTCTTCTGCCTCTCTTGTAACTCTCATTGCAAGGCGACTAGATAATCAACAGAAAACAGTTGAGTGGTGCAGCTTAGTACCACCGATGAGACCTTGTTAGGTCGAAACAAGGCTGTGTTGTGTTTATTCGAAAGTTCATCTAGTTGTGTTCCAGTGGGAGATTCAGTAAAAGATAGAGGCCAAATCTTGTTTGTTGGTTAGTATCTAAGCCTGGCTTTGCCACTATTCACCTTGGGATGCCTCGTTTATCTTTGACATCGAGTGGCATCTTTGTAGTGAGATATGTCATCATCTTTACTTTCAGAGACAGTTGAGTCGTTCATCCCAATACCATTGATGAGACCTTTGTGTTATCTGGTGTTGGATAAAAGTTCACTAGTTCGGAAAATGTATATCTACTATAGTTACTGATGAAGTTGTAAATACAAATCGGCAAAAATTTTTTCCAATCTAACAAAAAAAAACTAAAATTCCAACTTCGATCATTCAATACAACAAGGAAATAAATGCATCCATACTGTCGCGAAATATTCATTTGCCCCTAACCCAAGGCAAATTTCCTTTTAGTCTGAAACTAGCTTCCGAAAAGCATTATGTATATTAGTATGATAGGTAATATAATGAAAGGTTATTCATTAATAAAAAAATGATTATTGAATATTTCGTTTATTATTATAGCTACCATAAGCCATTTGTTACTTTTGTAGGTAAAAATAATGATATTGATAATGTACATACACAAAATCAGTAACACCGTTGATAAGCCACATAGTTAAAGAATACTACGTGCTTGCTGGTTAGATTTTCACAATGCAGTATATGTCTATCGCACATTGAACACTGAGCATCTGTCCGACGAAAGAGAAGGAGCTTGTTTTCCACTGACGTATGCGTGAGAGGAAGAGAAGCCAGACAAACTGGCGCCGTTACGCCCTAGGTAACCAAGCGGTTTACCCTCCCATAAAAAGTTATCACTTCAATAACCTTTTACAAAATGAAATCCATCAATCAACACAGACAAGGATTTCCAATAATTCTACCTAAGTGCGTTTGTATCCTTCGAAAATTTGAAAAACTCTGTACATAATTTCCAGTTGCTTACTTTCTTTCCTATACCTTATACCTCAAGTACATTTTCTTTCCTCCGACTGTTAAGTTTATGAATTGTATACTACTGAACGCTGAAATACTTCTGGTTTAATTTTTCCATTCCGATAAGAGCTTTAAAATTATGTTATATATAGCTCATTCTGGTCCAACCTTGTGAAGTACATATCTCTGTTTTTGACAACCTACATATTTTCAATTATATTACATAAACATGTTTACCATGAATAAAATACAATAATTTTTTATCAAATAAATACGTCATTTGATTTAGGAATTTCATGAATATTATGACTGGTTTCGGATCAGTGTTTCAACCTTTTGAGAAGCAACCTTTGCAATTCCAGCGACATGATTGTGACAAGACATATTGAGGTCCATGTCAACCCCCAACAAACGTATCAAAGCAGAAAGCGGAATTGTCTGTCCTGGCATTATGATATCCGGTTTGGATACATTTATCTTTCTGGAGGAAATCGATGCGATGCCTGGGTTTTTATGGCATTGAAACGCCTGTTGATCTTTGTTTCCGAAAAAAATCATATTGATGATCGCTCAAGATGTCAAAGCCCTTGAAATATTGAAAAATGTGGTGATTCACGGCTCTTTCCATCAATTTGATATTACTTATAGCAAAGAGACTGATATATGGACATTTATAAGATTTTTTTGCCCTTGGACAAGAATCTGAATGCAAGCAATCTTTCAAGAAGAAGGAAAACCCTTTCCTTGTACGGCAGGTTGAAAAGTCTGAACTATACTGATGCGAGTTCATTGTCGCACATTTTGAGCACGATGGCAGGCACTTCATCAGGACTGGAGGCCCTTTTTGATATTGAGCTGTTCCAAAATTCGCCTGAATAGACGTTGTTGAGAAGTAATTTTTGACTGTGGAGTAGGACGCAAATTGTTCAGCTTGTAGATTTGCTTTTTCTATGACTGTTTTTGCCATTGAATTATCCGCTTGTGTTAGTAATGAAATGGTGGATTTTTTGTGAAGTTTTGATTGGCAGCATTCGCTACTGACCAGAAGGATCTGAACCTATTGGTATTGGTAAGCAGTTCATTTCTAATTCTGTGATTGTGAAGTTCCCTATTTTTATTGATTCTATGTTTGCTGTTGCGGGCATTAACAAACCTAGCAATTAGAGCATATCATAACCTGAACATGAACATGCTTTGAATAACGAAGGTCACCTCATCAAATTCCAAGAAAGTTATCACTTCAATAACCTTTTACAAAATGAAATCCATCAATCAACACAGACAAGGATTTCCAATAATTCTACCTAAGTGCGTTTGTATCCTTCGAAAATTTGAAAAACTCTGTACATAATTTCCAGTTGCTTACTTTCTTTCCTATACCTTATACCTCAAGTACATTTTCTTTCCTCCGACTGTTAAGTTTATGAATTGTATACTACTGAACGCTGAAATACTTCTGGTTTAATTTTTCCATTCCGATAAGAGCTTTAAAATTATGTTATATATAGCTCATTCTGGTCCAACCTTGTGAAGTAAATATCTCTGTTTTTGACAACCTACATATTTTCAATTATATTACATAAACATGTTTACCATGAATAAAATACAATAATTTTTTATCAAATAAATACGCCATTTGATTTAGGAATTTCATGAATATTATGATTGTCCCATACCCCATACAATTCGAATTGATTGTCTCAAGGTGCGTATTCACCAAAAAAGCGAGCACGAGCGAACAAGAGTGAACGAGCATTCTGCATCAATAATCGTCTGGTGAGTACGGGCTAGCGAGCGAGCGAACGTATGCTTATTCGCGTTCAGAAAAGATCGAGAAGAAGGCTGTATATTAAAAGGTGCTCGCACAAAGTAGATGGATCAACTACGACTACGAACTTGAAGATATTCGCTCTGGTGTGGACGAGACATCAATATGTCGAGCAAACACGAGCGAACAAGAGTGAACGAGCATTCTGCATCAATAATTAATAATGAGCGAACACGAGCAAACATACACGAATGCTCGCTCATGCTCGCTCGTGCTGGCTTTTTTGGTGAATACGCACCTTCAGTCATATTTACCGCGCACGCACTGCTCGCACAAAGTGGATGGATCAACTACGACTACGAACTTGAATATATTCGCTCTGATGTGGACGAGACATCAATATGCCGAGCAAACACGAGCGAACATGAGCGAGCACGAGCAATCATATACGAATTCTTGCTCATGCTCGCCCGTGCTCGCTTTTTTGATGAATACGCACCTCAAAGGTGCGAGCATGAGCGAGCATTCGTGTATGTTTGCTCGTGTTCGCTCGTGTTTGCTCGAGATATTGATGTCTCGTCCACACCAGAGCGAATATGTTCAAGTTCGTAGTACCGCCTTCTTCTCGATCTTTTCTGAACGCGAACAAGCATACGTTCGCTCGCTCTCTAGCCCGTACTCACCAGACGATCATTGATGCAGAATGCTTCTTCACTCTTATTCGCTCGTGCTCGCTTTTTTGGTGAATACGCACCTTTAGATGTTACCGTATAAATTCAAACTATCGCGCGGAAAAATGAATTCAAGCTTTCTCAAAAGTCGATGCGACACATTTAATTAAAATAGTTACAAATTCGTTGGTTTGTTCTTGAGACAAGACATGA